GCTAGGGTTGGTTCTGTTTATCTTTAACTTGCTTTTATAAAGTGGGGATAGAATAATAATTTAACTATATAAACTCGAGCTAATCGGCTCGGCTCGGCTCGTTTAAAGCTCGGGCTCAGCTCGAGTCGAGCTTTAAACTTCTTCATATTCGGCTTGTCTAACTATACGAGCGAGCCCGAGCCGAGCTTTAATCGAGCCAAACACGAGTCAAGCTCGAGCTGCTCGGCTCACACAACAGCCCTAAGCATCTCACAAGTAATAACACATCCATAGCCCAGAGTTGACCAATTTAACCGGAACATATAGAACACTCCAACAACGAAAAAGGTTTTAAAAACCTAAAACTAAGATATAATAACAAACCCACATTGTTGCCATGTGAATATCCATTATTGCGTTAAGGTTACAAGTGTTAGTATATGGTACTAGCACACACAATCAAGGGGCCCAGCAAAGCTGTAACCCTGGGCAAACAGTCTACAAACACTGACCAATGAATTTCCTCTCAAGCTGAGATATTTTTGGACCAAAATTTGAACGAGGAATGGAGTTATATTAACTATAAGACATCTTATCACTACTAACTAGGTGAGAGTAAAAGTTACCGGGGCATCCAAAATTGTGAATCTTGTGCTTTCTGTCTCAAAATGCGCTCTACCAACCTCCACAGTCTTTCCCTTAAAGAAGTAAATCAACAACAAAAAATAGAGCATGAGCAGCAACTATAAAGTTATTTATCATTCATTTACACAATCAGTTAAGAACATATACAATAATTATACATAATCATAGAAACTCAACACACTATGATAATTATTGAAAGGATTAACATACAATACTTGACAAAAATTATATTGATGCGTCATTGATATATATCATACATGCATCTACAATTGACACATAGTAATGAATATATTCTTATGTAGTGTATGATACATGGTGCAACGTCTTCAAAAGTGTCAACATCTTTCCTTTAGACTTCCATTTTTGTGTCTAATGCCATCTGCAGTAGTTGCAAAACAAGTATTTTGCTTCTTTTCAGTAATTTGATCCAAAACAATTAGAAGGCAGATTTAAACAGTTTAGCCACCTTTATAATTCTAGCAAACGACATTTCTGATTTCCTCAGCACCAAAGGTGGCACACCCACATCCAATTTACGCAAGCAAAAGTGATTTGTTTCAAAAATACAAATTTTAACATCTCAAACAAACAACAACACAAAGCACCTTTCACCTGTTTCAACGCAGAGAATTTGCAAAATGTGTAGTGTTATGGCACGTAAAGCTGAGGTGACAATTTTTATGGACAAAATCTCAATAGACTATCTCTCTCATGATATTACACTATACAAGTATACAACTCAAAAGATGTAACTACGAACAAAATTTAGAAGATAATATGATATATTAAATGTGAGATACAAAACAAAGATATAAGGTACCTTTGCACGCTCTTCCTCGTTTGTGTCCATGATATATGCCATGTACCTAATAAAGAGTAATTAGCTAATGCCAATATGAGGGTACAGTAAAAATTTATCCAGAAAGTTAAGAAACTATTACAATAAAATTAGCTAAAGGTGAATAAAAACCTCATACATTTGTGGTTACGTGTTTCAAAATTTATACTACATGTACTAATCTGAAATTAAGGCCAATATATCATAAATTTAAAAAGGTAATATAGAAGATAATTAAACTAAGTCTTTAAATTTCCTTTTCAGTTCGACAGATCCTTGATTCAAAGATGAGTGTCTCAAAAAGTTTTACCCCATCTTCTCAACCTCAAGGAAGTGCACTATCAAAGAAAGGCTATGTTATATATAAAACAGTGGACTCCACAAAAGCTGATTTATCTCTACATATACTGCTCGAGCACCAAACAGACTTAAAATGGCATATGAAACAAAAGGCCGAATACAGCCGGCCTTGTATGAGAGACAAAAAGTTATTCGACATCTTTTGTTGAATTTCAAACATGGAAAGATTGGCATATGTAGTTTACTTGCTATGTTCTTTTGGGGCGTTCTCTGCCAAACCAAATACGTAGCATCATCACATTTTTTGTATATAAACAAAAGAGGGACTAAAATTGCAACAATAACAAGGACCATAGAATAAATGTGACCCAAAGGCTGATATATAACAACAACTTAACTTCCATAAAAAGGCTTATTTACCTTCCCTGACCCAACACATGTGACAAAACATATCGGGAAGAGAAAAATCAAAGCAAACAAAAAAAGAAAAAACTACCACCTATGCACAATGCCCATATACATAAAAAGCATATCCCCTAGATATTTCTAATTATTCTTTGTAATTTGAATGCTTATGATATATTGACCAGCCTTGAAAGTCAACATCGATTGATATTGGTCACAAAGTCAATATATATTAAGGTATCCTACAATGACGACAATCACAAAAAACTCGAAAGAGAAGGGTATTATTATGCTTCCAAGTATAAAGTGTTAGGAACTAACAAAGAGCCTTACCAACTTTCTCGACTCTTATCCTTTGCTTCTTTCTCATACTTCTGGATCGTCCGATCATCAACCTGACCACTAAGGAAAAGTATCTGCCCTCCAGTTGTAGACTTGCCAGCATCTGTAACCACACACAGTCACACAACATGCACATGAATTGAAAATAATTAGACTATACCAACCACATGAAACAATGGGCGAATATTTACGTTATTTGATGTATACAGCTATCTCAACAATTCTAAATCAGTAACCTTATAGCCACACCAAAATAAATACCATAAGCACCAACTCGAACTATAGTATGTGATAAATGGCAGTTTTGTAAATCTGCTACTACCTAAACCTAAAGACAAACATGGACTTTAATAATTACACCAACAGAGGAGCCCAATCAAAACCTAATAGACTCAACCCTCATTGTTAATCGGATTTGGGCTAGGAACTTCAAACTGGGTTTTGAAAAAAACTCGGTAGGGTTTGGGTTAATAAATTGAGCATCTTATTGACTGATTATGTTGAAAGTACTTACAAGTTACAACTGCGAAAAGCGTGACTTACAATTGATAATATGTATTATCCAATTTCAAATAAAAATAGTTGCAACAACGGTGTGAAACAACAATTAAAGCATTATGCCAAAACAAAAACAATGCTTAGGGAGACAGGGGGAATCACATCAATTTACCAACATGACCAATGAATACAACATTCAGATGCCTCTTCTTCTCCTCTTCTGTCTCATCAATTGCTTCTACAACAACTTTGGGAGCAGCCGTTGCCTTATCTTTACCTGAAAATGCAATCATAACAACTCAAAAGAAACGCTTTCAATTGCATTTTTAATATAAGTTTAAACATCATTGAATGAATATGGACCTTTTGTCTCCGTGTGCACTTCAACAGTATCTGGTTGGGCCTCATCAATAATACCTGCAACCGTAAAAAAAAAATGTTACAGGCTAAATTTGCGTAGAGAAAAAAATATCGCACAGCTGACATAGATTAATAGAGGCGTTAAAACATAATTTTATTGCAGATATGATAGAATTGAATTTCATTTTTGATCTTGGAGTAGACATTCACTCTCCCAATATATAACAAAGTTTGGAAATAAAGTAAAATATAACCATTACGACCAAACATGATTAGAATTCCAATCTATGGATTTTAAAAACTAAATATAGGAACACGACAGAACTAGTTAATATAAACAGCCATTCCAACTATCAATGGCGACTAGCACATAAATACCCATCGAATTTCCAAAGTTGGGATCAAGACATTCCAACTATAAATGACAACTGGCCTATAACCCATTACAATTTCCAAAATTGGGATCAAACAGACTTTTCTGACACTATATCCTAAAAAAATTGGCATCTGTCCAAAGGATTGCAAATTGGCATACATTACACATAGGATTTCCACAATCGGTATCTAACAAACATTTCTGTCGAATATATAATTCTAACAAGACCACTCGCTAACTCCCAAAATTTCCAAATTAATGTATGAAATCATGCACAACCTCGAAAACAAAGAAATGACCTGAACAATATCCCAATAAAAATGAACTAGTCTGTGCAAGAGTAACAACTGACCTTCTTCTTCCATCTTATCCGGTGTTTCAGTATCAACGGACTTCACTTCCTCCACTGGAACAACTCCATTACTTTGTTCTACGTAAAATTCAATCACAATAAACATCAACAACACAGTATCTTCAAACACATAAAGAAATCCAGACAACTGAGATAAACAAACACTAATAACCTGATGAATCCAATTCCAATGATCGGATTCCAGATTGAATCTCTTCGTCTATATCTAAACAAACAAAATCAAAATCACTTTTCAGTAATTCTTTCAAATTAAACGAAATCAACATCAAATTCTAATATATTGATCGTGAAATAACAACATTTCATCATTATTGAAATTGAGTTTAGAATCACTTACTCATTGCTTCGAGAACTTTATTCCTCGCGCACTAGGGTTTTCTCCGACACAACGAACGACAGAGAATGGAGAACTGCTCTGAGAGTCTGACTGAAGTCGCAATGCCAGTAAAAAGATACTCTAGTAGAAATACAGGAAATCGTGTTGGCGTTAGCTTTACGCGGTTTTTTTCTGATTAAGTCGGTTTGTGCGTCAATTTGACGCTATCAGAGTGAATCGGACTTAGAACAGCTTCAGAGTGATCTGGGCCCCCAAAATATAAAAGCTATTGTTAGGCCCACGAGTAGCTTTTATATTTTGGTCCGGCCCTTGATATAGGCCCACTAGTAGCTTTTATATTTTGGGGCCCAGATCACCTACTCGTGGGCCTATATCAAGGGCCGGACCTAATTTAACATATAGTTTCTTGGTCTCTGGTTCTTTTCATGATCCATATTCCTTCATCCTCAAGTGTTGAAATGCAAATTGAAGTGTGATTCAAATATTTCAATGCAAATTGGAGTGTACCTTATCACCTTATGGTTAGTGGCTATTCAATGTGAAGGTTCAACATACCTGGACGGGGTCAATGAGTGATCAAGAAGGCTCATGGCCTAGGTTAGTGACCTCCATTGCACACTTGGGAGGGGTGCTTAGCCTAAGGCTCATGGCCTAGATTGTATGATTTGATGACTGGTCATTGCAGAGCCTAGAACTGCACAACATAAAACTTTTGATTTCTCAACCAACTGAACCACGTTTAAGTCCTACATGTCTTTACATGTCTTACGAAGTTTGACAGCCAGAAGTCTTCCCTAAGCCGGTTATTATAAGTATTAACATGGAAGATCTCAATTCTCAAGTCAAGAAGACCTTAAATTACTGGAAAAAAGAAAAAGACCTGCCAGTTGTGGTTTTCTTTGGTTTTGTCCTGAATCATGATCATTCACCAACAAACTCAAGTGAAAAGTGAAACAATGAGGTAAAAACATGAAAATTTGAAAAGTACAAGATCAGATTAAATCCTTTATCCACAAAAAGTTCAATAATTCTTAATTACATGAAGGTTTGGATTTTGGAAGAGTATTAATCATAGATAGGTGATGGGACAAAGATCTTCAAGAAAAAAGTCTGAACATACTCAACCCTTCATTAATATGGTTTGCTTACAAAGTTCACATTGCACCACAAAAACAAGTTCTATTTTGGACCACCAAGAGGCAAGAGCACCACCTGTTTTACATACACAACTATAGAGTGGATTTTTCAGGGAATTTTAAAGATGTGTAATCTTAATTTCAGTGAACTCTAGTGATGTGTAATCAGTAATCCTAATTAGCAACAACCAACTCAAGCACTGCAACTGGTGC